AACTATATCTATGCGTTTGTGTGTAGTTGTAGTGTGCGAATATATTGATGGATGTTGTATGGTATGACTCCTGTAGTTGATAATATGATCGAAATTATTTCAACTTTTTCTTGATTTCCTCAGCTAGTTGAATGTATTTTTCTATCTTCGTTATTGTTTTCTTCTGTATGTTTGCCGTATTAAGTATGGATATTTTAATTAATTGTGTTATTTTCTTTCGTTTGTGGATTAATATGAAGTCGGGTTTATTGTGTGGTGTTATTTTGTCGGTAGTAATGCTTCTATTCCAGTACTTTTTGTATTCATCATTTTTTAATACATTCTACAGTATGTATTTGTATGTAGATATGTGCTATTATGTGAGTTTGTATTGTATGGCCAATTGCTGATAGATGGTTTACGTTGTCATGTCTTCTAGTATATTCTGTATTTATTATTACATCTGCCTATGATATGGTCAATTGTTTCTATTTATTTGCATAGTTTACATTTGTCTGTATTGAATTCTTCCTCTTCCTCTTCCTCCTCTTTTCCTTCATCTTCTTTTTCCTCTTCTTCTTCCTCTTCTTCTTCATCTTCTTCTTCATCTTCTTCTTTTTCTTCTTGTTCTTATTATTATTATTATGAGTATGCTTTCTCAAATACTCAAAATCCCGATTTTGAAAGATTTATGAGGACGTAAGACAAAGAAGTCTTGTAAAACATTATAAACAAACATTGCAATGGAAAGTGAACTATTTAATAGAAATTTAAAAAATTAATCCGTAAAAGTCTCATATGTTGTGAAATTTCTTATCGTCATTTTTATAAATGAAAAACCAGTAATTTTTCTTAATATGAATAAGTTTTAGGATATTAGGATTAGGAAATGATAATGCAATATATAAATTAAGTAAATAGTGTAATTAAATTAAATATTTTAATCTTTATTCACATCAATCTCCATCAATTCATACTTTAAAAATGAAATTATTGGTTTATAATAACTAAAATAAGATATAAATATTTTCGACTGTAAATTGTCTAAATAGCGTCCAAACATTGTATCGATTGTAGTGTACGACCTGGTACTGGATTTTTTCTTATCAGTATTTAATTTATAATTGAATTTTTCATCTAAGAATGTAATCAGTGCTTATGCTTCTTCTGGACAAAAATTAATGTTGAAATCATCACTGAGAAACATTAATAATTTGTCCAAATTTCTTCTTAACAATTTTACACCATCATTAGTGTATAGTAGCATGACTTCATGAATGAATCCAATAATTTTATTGATGTTTTTGTTCGGTGATATATAGATGACGATCATAAGAATTGTTTATCTATTTTCCAATCAACATTGGATTGCACAAATATCACTAATCCCTGTAGAATGGGCATCCATTAAATTGATTTGTTCTAAATTCAAATCCTTGTTATAGGTCATAATATTTGTCACGTCATTTGTCATATCTTGTAAATCGCTACTTCAACTCTCATATTTAAACGTTTAAATTGTACAACACAACCAATATTGTGAATGTCTATGCTTATTTCATTCTTCAGCCATGTCTTTGATAATAGCAAAAAATTAAATCGTTGCATCACTGCATCGTCCATGTCTACAGACTAAGTCCGTAGACTTTGACAATTAAACGAACAAAGTGAAAGTCCTCTTTTGTTCATCATAAAACTGATTAAAACTGTCTAATGACAGTAATCAATTAAAATTCAGCTTATGAAACACATCTTGTAAACAAGACACTGAATTTGATTTTCGACTGTGATGAAATCTTGGATTATCATCTTCTATAACGATATAAAGCCCGTTGATGTATGTAATTCATGATAAAGTTACATACTCCACTTATCGTGATTATATTTTGCTGTATTCATAAATAACTTAACTGAAAGTATCTCCTTGAGATTTGTGAATAGTGATGGCTAAGGCAGATACTAGTGGCAAGTAATTCCCTTTGGCAATAATGGTTTTATTATTATTTAATAGAATATTAAATGTTCGTCTTTCTAAAGGCACTGTTGTTTGACTCAGACCATTTGCCTTAATGTAAACAGTACAAATATATTTGTTGTCATATTAAAATTAACAAAATTTCACAATTTTCGACGAACACTTGTCAACACACTACACTGCAAAAGCTTTCAATACATATATGGCCAGTACTGACCGCACAAGCTCGTGATCTGTATGAGATAGAGAGAATAGAAATCTTCCCTCTCTTCTCCCTCCACTTTCGGCTCCTCCTTCTTAAGAAAAGCTGTTCATTTTTCGTTCTACCCAAGTAAATTTACGCTACCACGGTTTAAATAGTTCCACTTCAATAAATTACTGGACTATTGTTGTGTTATAATATAGATTGGTCTTTCTATCATTGATTTGACACAGCGAACATCTGCCATTTTCAGAATTTGAATATCCGCAATAAATTGGCAGATGATGATTTTTTCTCACTAATTCGTTACTCACTAAATAGGCCCGCTTTACAGGTAGGCAATATTGGTGTAAGCAGGTAAAAATGTACAGTCCGTTCAATGATACGAGTCAGGAGATGTAAACAAATGCTGTGATCAGGTCAAGAGCATATTCACAACGTTCAAATATTATAACATTTCTCAGGTGGGAAGTTAAAGCAAGTCTTAAAAGGGACCTATGTGAATACATTCTTGAATTCAACAATTGACCAGCCGATTGACAATTCACTATGCATTTATCATGCGCTAAATATGCGATTGTTTTATTTATGTCTCCTGATTCATCTTGTTGAACGAATTATAAAGGTGAGCTACAGTTTCACTAAGTGTTACTCCCAGCTTTATGATTTTAACACTTCCACCCTTTGAGCATATATGTACTCCATTCTAATCGGTCGGTTAAGGTAAGCCAGAGACGAGGACCTTTATAAGTCCTCAGAAGCATTTGGGTCCGTGATGTCGCCGATCATCAACTCGTCACAAGTTACCCTGCGGTTATTATTATTTTTACTGTTATTATGATAATTATATTTTAATTCCAACAAATATCGATTAATTCTTGTAAATTATAAATATCTTTCAAGAATTCCAACGTAATTTTTAAAGAATTATAATATTTGAAGGAAATCAAATTAAAAGATAGTAAAAACAATTTCAATTTTCTTGAAACCAGAACAACATACTGTTAATAATACGTCAGGAACGATCAATACATCGATCAGAGTTGATTATCCCGTATTATTAAATGAATATTCTTGTATGTACGTTGAGCAATGATAAATTAAAGTCACGATTGAATTATGCACATGGACACACATATCCATGTGCATTAGATGCACTCGAGAAGGAACTCGACTTATGGGAAATGAAAGTTATTTCTCGGTTAACAATGTTCTGCGATCGATGCTAAAAGAAAAAACTACTTCTCGGTTACGGAAATAGAATAAATTCTGACTTACTTATAACTGACTAAAGCTAATCAAATAGATCAAAAGATACGTATTACGATTACAATCTCGACGTCTTGATGAACAATACTTTTGCTTTGAGACTAACAAAGATTAAAAATGTTTCTAAATGAATTAATACGAATTTTCTTGTTATTTTGTTTCTTTCTCTAATAATAACACGATTTTAACAAAAATATCTCTAGATAAATTAATATCTGAATTTTCTTTTTTTTTTTTGGTTTTTATAATAATAACACATTAAAACAAAATATATACTTCTAAATAAGTGAGTATTAATTTTCTCGTGTTTTTTCTTTCTATAATAATAACACGTTTTTGCAAGCAAAAGCGTTTTTGAATGAATCAGAACAAATTTTCTGGTATTTTTCTTTTTATCCAAGTTTCTATGACAATAACAATTTTCTTCCTAAATGATTATGAAATAAAAAAGTAAAATATGAAAGAAACATCCTTACCTTATCCGTTGCATTCAACTCTATTCGTGGAATGTTACATATAGCCGATATTACACCAGGATGGCCGGCGACAGCTGCATGATGTAGAGCAGTTGCACCAGTGTAATCCATTGCATCTCCGTTCAACGATTCCACGGCTTCCGCAAGATATTGCACGACATTGGCATTGTTGCCCCGAGCACCACACATTAGTAAAGTGTACTGTTTCTGTTAAATATACAGATAGAAAGAAAGGAAACAACTTTCTTTCTCCTATTTTTATCAAGCGAAAATATTAATGAAGAAAAATAATAATAATATACAACAAAAAAATAAACACAAAATAGTACTAAAAACAAATTAATAAAAATATGGAATACAATTAAATAATGCAATAAGTAATTAAAAATTGGTCGATTAGAAAATACAATTAAATATAAATATTACATATAATTAAACAATATAACAAATAATTAAGAATTAATCAAACTATTCATCATTATTTGCTACCTTGTTAACTGCAGAAACATTAGCACCAGCATTGATCAAAACTTCCACAGCATCCTGATGTCCGTACCATGCAGCCATATGCAATGGTCGCATACCGTACTGAAAGCGGCAGGATTTAAATTTCTATAGCATTCAAGTTATGAGGATCATATAACTTCAGGTGTCATGAAATTTTACAGCAGTATTCTGCACGCTTCTGAAAGTACCATTCATTGTTCTGAAGTCATAACCACTTTCAGTCGTGCTACGAATGAATGAATTAGTACATCTTCTGACTGCGAAAACCGATAGGGATGCGAAACTATGTTAAACATAATTATACTGTTCTAATTTTAATGTTCTAATCAATTTTATATGATACAGAACACGCTCGTAAAATTAATGATACGAAATTATCAATTTATGCATACGAATTTATACGAATGTTAATCCACCTTATCTTTCGCTTCAATGTCACATTTTGCTTGAATCAGCATCTCGATGATCTCCGTGTTCCCTCTCGAAGCCGCCCAATGAATAGGTGCACGACCATACTACAAATTTATTGTTAAGAAACTTTTTTATTTGAATCGATTAATTTTGCGAATGTCTTACGTTATTTCTTGAATCAACGTCGACATCTTCCTTTAGCACCCTTGCGACTGACTCCGCTTCATTCTTTATCACGGCCTCGTGCAATAGCAGATCGTTCTTGAGTACTTGTTAATGAGATTAAAAAGAATACAAGAAGGTCATTGAAAAGTAAATAAAAGAAAATCGCTTTTTTACTTAATTCTTTTTCCAATAACTTACTTTGCGCCATTTTCTTATTCAAAACTTCGTTTTCAATCGTCTCACTAATGTTCAAAGGTGTGGGAATTTTCCCCTTCGGTGTTTCTCCTTTGTCCATCATTTTCTTCGTTTCTCTCGTTATTTCTTTTCTTATTTTCTTTCTCACGTCGGTCTCGATAAAAGAATTAGGCAAACATAAAAGTATTCTAAGTCATTACATGAAAAGTAATTGAATCATGACAATCAAAATTTTCAAAGAGAACTGTATGTATATACATATGTATGAAATGTATATTTTAAAAATGGTAAAAGTTCACTTTTACGAGAAATGTCAAAAGCTTCTGCATATTTCAATTTGCTTGGAAATGTGATGCTATAAGTACTACTCGCATCATTTGGAAAATATATATACACAAAATGGCATTTAAATAGAAATTGGTGTTTTATATTAATAAACAAGAAACATCTCTAAAGAGAATTTGTAAAAAAGTAAATTTTTCTATCACTTTATTTAACTTTTCTGAAATACTGTTATAATTTTTCAGTAAAAAATATTATTGTACAGAGCAATAATTAAAATCAAAAATTGAAGTGTTTTTATTTAATGTTTCATCCTATGTATATATATACATATATCGTGTGAAAGAGCGGTCTCGTACTACAGGAATAGAACTATTTAATGAATGAAGAAGAACGAATGAATCGCAAGAGAAATACTGCTATAAATCGCTTTAAATTAGTGGTAGTAGGAAAAGACAGAAAAGGGGGGAAAAGTAAATCGTAGAGAACGCATTGTAATGTCTAGCACGAAGCGATGGGGGGATGACAAAGAAATTGACACATTTGAAACTGGAATGCGAAAGAAAAAAAGTTGCTTCCATGAAATATCTTGACTTCGTAGATATTAATTACTCATTTTCTATGTCATGCATCGAAATAAACTATTTCGAATTTTAATTTTTTTTCTTTTTTTTTATTAAAAAGAAAAACAATGAAAATATTTTGAGTTAAATTTTCAGTTGAATTTTTGTTGAATGAAAGTTGAAAATCGATAAGACGTTCGAAGGATTGTTAAAATATAGAGAGATTAAAAATGCATCATTCGTGATAGAAATATTTGAGTTTACGTTGAAACGTCACAACAGAGATTTTCCTCTATACCGAAAAGTCGTAATATTACATTGGCCGAGGGCAATATTTTTCCTTTACCATTCAAATAACTCTCTTTCTCTCTCTCTCTCTCTCTCTCTCTCTCTTCTCTCTTTCTCTCTCTCTCTCTCTCTCTCTCTCTCTCTCTCTCTCTCTCTCTCTTTCTCTCTCTCTCTCTCTCTCCAGCAATGTAACGACGTCAGTGAAAGAAGCACTCCAATATATATGGTGTATACATACCTATCCAACTGTGCACACACTTGCACACATTATTTCTATTCGTAATATATATGCGATGTTTTACAGTGCTTATTTACGGTTCAGAAGAAGTGAACAAGGAAAAGAAAAAAGAGAAGGAGAAAAATGAGAATGAAAATTAAGAAAGAAAGAGAGACTTGGATAACATTGAATGTGAACGAGGAAATATAAACGAAACAAAACAAACAAATATTTAACTTGGATGAGAATTTTGTTTTCGTTGAGAATGAAAAGGTTTTTAATCGTTTTGATACACTAAACAAATAGCTGGATTAAAAGAGAGAGAGAGAGAGAGAGAAAGTATGTGTGTGTGTGTGTGATATTTCTACAACGGAGGAGAAATTTAATTAGGTCGTATATTCAGAACGTACGAACCTTTTTATGTGTCCTCCACTTCGGAAACCTTTGAACTGTCTTCGTGAATGTTACACGCCCTTTTTCGTATCTGTCTCGTATTTTTTTTCGTATTATCTCGACTCAATATGAAATAATGATTGATCATGTTACAAAATTTCTTCAAAAAATGTAGGAAAACCTTTTCGATGATGATTTATTCTTCGAAAATCGACAAATGTATTTCAAATTATTAATGATCAATTAACCGCAGAAAAAGAACAACGATGATAAACAACACCAGAAAGGAATGCTATGTTGACGTAGTATTTTTAGACACATGATGCTCGCGAACATCGACGTTCACGTTACAAAGGGCAACATGCTACTGGTCAAATCAACCCCATTTCATCCCCGAGCCAGCCGTAATGTCAGGTCGACGGCAGCGCTGCCACGTGGTATTTTCGCCGACTATTTCGAGAGCTAATTTGCTAGAGAAAAATTACCTTTTTTTATGATCTTCACTTAAAGTTTGACGATCCTATCAAGCTCATAACAGTTCATTCATTTTTTATTTATCATTCTTATCAACGATCTTGTTATTCTAGAATTATACAAATCTTCTGTTTTGAGAATTACGATGTATTTAAATAAACGATTACATTTCTTATTCTAAGAGACAATTTTTCTTTTCTTCTTCTTTTTCATCTTCTTTTCGTTTTTATTTCTTTATTCTAATTAAATAATTTCTTTTTCGTATATTCAACTTTATGATTCATTTAAACGAATATCAATGCGTCCTTTTCTACTTCATCAGAGATATAAATTCTCCAAGAGAACGAAAGAAGGGATGAGAAACGTGGATTTAAATTTAATTCGGTCAAACGTTCGATCGACTTTTGTTCTAAAGATCGAGTATAAAGAGCCGACGTAGTTTTTGTTCTACCATAGGTTTGCTTTTTTTCTTTCTTCTATTTCGTTGATCGCTCGAAAAGCACTGTTTTTATTCATGGCTTTTCATTTGTAATTGTATTCACGATCGTAGATTCTCGACTCGTATTTTCGATAATACGGCAGCCATTTTGTGCCGTGAAGAATTAATTTCAATTCCCCGATTGTACCATTGTATCTAGTTGAGCCAATCTGTAAGAAAAAAATCGATCTCAATTTTTTTTCTAATTTTATTTAAATGTATAATTATTATGAATTATACTTATGTAACCTTGTCGAATATGTGTAGGATCCAAGTACCATGAGGATTTTCACCCCAAGAAGCCACGGACATGAATTTCCATTTGTCGAAACCTTCAGAAGAATCATCCAATTTTCTCGGACTCAATAATTGTACTTTCGTACCTTTAACGAATTAAACGAAAAAATAATATTTATGGTATAAATGAAGTAAGTTTATTTCTATTTACTACAAATAAAGTGTTCCAAAATGATATAAGAAAATATTTGTCATTTCTATTTCATTCTTTCATATTTTCATTCTTTCAAAAAAACTTCTTTCCTAAATGGCTCATTATCGTTATGTGAGAAACCACTGTATATATACATATACATGTGTGTGTATCCACCAGAATTATTATAAAATCTAATAATTTTGTTGCAAAACACCAGAACAGGTCAATTTTGTTTTCGAAGGGGACAAGTTCTTATCATAAATTAATAATACTTATTTTGAACTAGCCTCCTAAAATAGATGGCAAATAATTTCAAAAATCTTAAATGGCAACAGGGGTAAGTGATATATCATTTGAAAGATCTTTTAATTCTCTTTACAATAGTGTCATTTTGTGAAATTAGGGAGTTAATCCAAAATGGATAAATTTATGGTAAGGACCTGTTCCTCTCGAAAATAAAATTAGTCTGTCTCGATATTTTTCGAAAAAATCATTAGATTTCATAATAATTCTGGTGAACACTTGTTTGGGATGCTATGTATATATATATTAGACTGTTTGTATATATATGTATATACCTGATGGTGCAATTAAATACATTTCCAAAACACCACGACGAGAATATTCGAGATTCATCTCAATCTCGACATGCTCTAAAAAAGCTATCTCATTTCCGCTACTCGAACATTTGGTGTTTGTCTCAAAATGTAATGTTTTAATCACTCCGTGAGTCAGTCTCCTATCCAATCTGTATCAAATTGAAATAAAATTTCTAATGTACAAATTACGAGTTTAACATTCGTTAATAGATTACATGAACTCCATGCTTACACGAATTCCATGGGGACTTCGCATATGTTTTTCTCCGGCACGTTCGTCCAATTACGTGCGAAATTTACGAGGGCGTATGCATTCATAAGACCAAAACCGAAATGTAAATTGTACCAAAATCCTGCTGCGTTCTTCAACCATCCAGGATTTTCACTGAAAATTATAAAATCCTGGAAAATTAGCACTGTCCTTTGAAAAGTTTCTTCTTATTCTTACTTTAATGATTTATACTCAGATGTCCAAACGATCAAATGTTGAATGTCCCTCCACATCAAATTTTTGCTATAAAATTAATAAAAAGTAATCTCGACAAAAATGGTAAATAAATAAATAATTATTAAAATAGTTATTTTTATCAGAGTTTGTACTTCGCTTGAAGAGCAAGAGCTAATATTCCAGCTGCCAAGGGTGCAGAAGCGGAAGTACCAGTGTGTTTAGTTGTACAAGTGTTTCGTAGATCAGTCGTCGCCTAAAAAAGAATCATACTTCAAATAGAGGCCATGCACTACTATAAGTATATAGCACAATTTGTTAATCATAAACTCGATACGATATACTCACGATCATTTGATCTTGATACGCTCCACTGCTATACGTAGTCGCTAATATCGCAGGACACTTTTCACTGTACCAAGGAGATCGACCAGTTTGACTTGCCGATCCAATCGCCACGGTATATATACTACCAACGTAACCATCACATCCGCAATTATCATAGTTTGATCCACCATTACCCGATGCCCATACGTATATACTACCTTTACCATTTCTTCCCTAAATTAAATCAACATAATATTAATAGTATCATTTATCACGTTTCTCTAAATACATTTCATGTATTAATAAAGAGATATTTAATTTAATAATAAAAACGACATATTTTTATATGTCATTTCAATTACATTTTAATATGCTTTATAAGATAGGATTGGTCTAAATTGTGAATTTAACATAATAATATTATATTCATGATCTAAATAAATATATAAATAACTAAATAACTAATTAAATCGATATATTTTTTTTTCATTAACACCTTATTGATACCACGATCGATCGCTTCTCTTGCAAGTCTTCCAGGAGCTTCTAAACTTTTTCCATCATCTGGTGGTCCCCAAGAAGCAGTATAGATATCAACGATTTCCGACTTGAATCCAAGTGCTTCACCCTCGACTCGATCGTTCACAAAACCATCGAGTAATTTAATTCCACCTATGGACGCTTCGAAAGCCACACCAACTCCACACTTTCCATTATTTGCTTCCATTGCTATTTCACCGGCACATCTTGTTCCGTGGGCGTTCGCTCCTAAAAGATTCAAAGAAAAAGAAAGAGAGAGAGAGAGAGAGAGAGAGAGAGAGTGAATCTCTAAAGTTACCATAAATGAACACATAAGGAAAATCGATACAATTAGAGATACCAGTAGCTTCGTATCGTGGCATTGGATCGTTGCTACCTTCGTTCACGTTGTAACTGATATCCGGATCCTGAAAATAATATATCGAAAGTTAGATTTACGTGACGTTGCGTAACTTTAAACTCATATAACTTTTCAAGCTTTATTTAATTTTTTTATCATAAAATTAATTATTAAGTAATATCTAAAAGTTAGTGGTTGCTAAGTATAAGTGTAATTTAGTATAGTATAATATAGTTATACTAATATAAATTATGCTTTCTATAGTATAGTTATGCTAGTATATTATAAATTAATGCTTAGTATAGTATAGTTTTACTACAATTTTCACATTATATAATTTTTTGTTTATATACGAAAAAAATAGACTTGAAACCTTATTGTTTAAAATTGTTTAATGATTTGAATTAATTCAATTTCTCTCACATAATTATTACGTAAATCATCATGATCATGTTCCAGGCCATCGTCTAAAACGGCGATTCTCACTCCACGTCCAGTCACTCCCAACTTATAAACAGGCAACACATTGAGATCTAATTTCGGAAGTTTCTTACTCGTTCTAGTATCTTGCTATAACAGAAGTAATTTAAATCGAAATAATTTAAACAAAAATATAATAATTAATATTTGAATAACGCTATTTAGTATATTTGTGTCATTATTACCAAATACCATTCCAAATCCCAAAGCTCGTCATTAAATAATGCTTTGCGATTTAAATTATATGTATCCGTCAAATAAATAGGTAGATATTTTCTCTCGTCCTTCTCGATCGTATTCGATGATATTCCATATAAACTCCATGGGAGACGCTTTTCTCGTCTCAAAGGTTTCTCTGAATCAAATATCAATGGAGATACGTAGTCACGTTTCTCTCGACGTACGAATTTCTGCTGCTCGACCCAACTGATCTACAAGATAAAAAAGTATTATATCGATCTTTGAGATTTATTAATAAAATACTTCTTTCGTTAAATATATGCATGCCTATATATGTATATATATACCTATATATAGGTACATATAATATAATATACTAACCAAAAATAAATAAAATACAATGAAATATCTTTTTCGACATTCACGATTGCAATAAGAATCGTCACAATCTATCACAGAATAAATCTAAGATAGAAAATGAGAAGAAAAAATGAAAGAAAAATAATAATGCATAAAAAAGGTCACCCTAGAGCTCGAATTAAAGGTTGCCATTGACGAAACGTAGCCTCTCTTCTTTTGACCTGGTTTATCGTTCTTAATCCATATATACGTGTCTTCAAATCCACGAACCTGTCCGATGAAAAAATTATAAATATACGAATGAAAAATACATAATTTTATAAGAACGTCGAAACTTCTCAATATTCATTGTTTATATTTTTAATTTTAATATTATATTTATTAAATATTCGATATTAATTTTTCATCGATTTAAACAAGCAGGAACGAGAAAAAAAGTCGAATTAATCGTAAGATTAAACGCCACCCTCGCACTCTTCTTTCATTCTAACGTTATAAATAATATCGATAAAACATTTCAAGAAGCATCGTAACGTTTTCGTCCTTCGTACCAAGAAAAGGGATACTTTGATCAGGATATCATACGAACACGGTTAGTATACTGAACGAACGTGTCTTTTGGAGAAAATTAAGGGAACTCGAAGTGGGGTATTCAATGTGTGTTATTATTATACAATGTCACGTGATTTTTTTGTCCTATCCTTCTTATAAGGGATCCATATGTGTCGTGTTACGATCCCCAAAAGAAGTGTAAGGGGAACATAATATAAAATACATCAGAGAAAGAGAGAGAGAGAGAGAGAGAGAGAAAGAGAGAGAGATAGAGAGAAAGAGAGGGAGACAGATAGTACAGGCAACCCTTTTATAACACGATATTTTGAGAACACGGTAAAAAAATTACGAAATACCTTCTTATAATACAGTACTCTGCAAACACGGTAAAATAACTACGAAATATTCTCCTAAAACATAATATTCGAGGTTACAGTTTTAATATATTATATATAATTTTTTATAAATTATATAATATATATATATATATAATATATTATTTTTCTTTAGTATAAAAATTTGTTAATAGTAAGGATTGCATAAAATAAATGAAATCCATAATGCAATGACCAGTGCAACGATTTGAATATGAACATTTCTAAAAATCACAGATAAATAACCAAAGCTAAACTCCACAATCGAATTATAATACGACTTTCTAATGACAAATTCGTCAAATTTTTATTTTATCTACTTTATTTAAAATTTTGGAATATTTTTTTTATATTTCATTTTTATTTTTAAATCATTTAAAATTCTTGAATCACATCCAAATAATGTTTTATTTAATCATATCAAATTTGACATGAAACGAAAACTCAATTTTTTTTATAGTCCTAAAGTATTTTATAACATTTAATACATTTTTCATATAATACGAAATGTATTCGCCTAATTTGTACTCGTAATTTCTCATAATAGGGTACGAATTAACCGTATTCCGAGGTTTGCCTGTAATAGAAATACTAATACAATCTTAATTCTCCTTTATTCTACGATCTCTTTGAAACTATCGAGACCCTTTCTCACTAATCTTCACTCCTAATAATTAATGATTTCTATTCAATTGTGCTCGGCCTTTGCAAAGAATTTCAATGAATTGAATATGAAATAAACTAATAAAGATTGGTTTACTTTAACAATTGGTCGAATAAAATCCTCCAATTTATTTTTCCTCTTCCTTGAATTAAATTAAATTTATTTCTTCTTTCTTTTTTGTTGCTTAAAAATTGCGGTAAAGATATATTCAATATTGTAACATCGTTGAAAGGAACATTAGATTTATCATTGATAACGTACGTACGAATCAACCTATGTTTGGCAAGCACTTAAGATTAGATTGATCCTTCTCGGATTATTACCAGAACGACTGCTGCTAACAGATGTCAGATATATATGGGTGACCTCATCGTAATATTGGCGAATGTTTTTGTAAAATGACGATATTATGACATTTATGAATGACATTATTTAATCATTTCTCCTAGATCTAAAGATTCCTTTATTGATATATTTGATATGATTGATATGATTAATATGATTGATATAATAAACGATATTTACCGGACCAAGATAAGTATAATCGAATTGTTTTGCCAATAGAGACGCTACATCAGCTCCACCAGTTATTCGCAAAACCCATTCGTTATGATAATTTCCGGCTTTAACGTAGACACACGTAAAAATAGTAATAATAAATTGAATTAATATTAATCGCTGAATTATGGTATGATTAAACGGTCTGTAAAAAATGAAAATGAATTGTTGATAAATCATATCTTAACACAAAATACGTTAATTATTATACGAACCCGTCCATTAAGACAATCGACTAAAAAACCAGTAGATATATTTCAATAACACCTGAATTATTAAAAAAAAAAATTAAACACCACACTATGTTCGTATCGGACCATGTGTAGTCGCGAAAACGAAGCTACTAAGTCAGTTAGCGAAATGATAATGGCAGATGGTCGAACCAATACGTGTGAGTATTAGCTGGGATCTGGCTATGCTCTTATGAAAACTCACGCATTTGTCTCTCCATTTTATCCACAAGGTTGGTTGGGTGGAAAAATATTTCGATAGGATGAAATTAATATTCTAAAATAAAGTAATACATATATGCTTGTATATGCATAATATGTACATATTATACAGGATGTTTTCTTTAACTTTTAATGTTGAAATATTTCGTGAGCGACATAATCTATACAAAAAAGTTTTTACAAATATTCTTTAGCATGAAGGAAGATATCATATGGTGCAAATAATTTTTTTATAGACCGAGTAGTCGAAGAAATTTCAAAGTCAGATACATTCTTTTAAATGAAACCATATATTTTTCTTATCATAATATGATGACAATTGTTGAAACATATTCAACGAACTATAATATTATAACTGAGTGCAACAAAATTCACAAAATTTGGACAATTGATGTAAAATAAAATAATTGTTGAACTTCTTATCGATAGCAGTTTGAATGGTCAGAAATCGTATATTCGCATACTCTCATGCTCGCATTATACTCGCATATTCCTTACATTATTATTCTATGCATCCTTTACATCATTATATTGCCCATTCCTTATATCATTATTCTGCACTTACATTACATTATCAGTCTGCGCTTATCTTATATCTAATATTCTGCGTTTTTTTACACCCTCATTTTATACTTTATACCCTCATTCTATTCTTACCTTATAGCCTATACTACGAATTCTGCTTTTATTTTGCACTTATTGTATACTAACCTTATGTTTAATTTGCATATTACCATCAATAATGATGTAAAGAATGCGCAGATTAATGATATAAAGCAGTTTTCGATATTTGCAACGTCTCGGCCCATATTAATAATTAATTATTACTATTCATATCCATATTAAAGTTCAAATCTGTAATATGTAATTACATTGCAATACTATTAACTTGCAAAGAAACCGTACACAGTATTACAAAATTTTAGAACCAAATACAGACTGCCTTGATCTTCAATTTCAGTCGAAAAATTTTCCTTTGTAGTAAGATCGTGGACGTGTAAATTAATCAAAATATTGAATTTAGTTTATATAGATGTATATATCTATACAAAAGTATAGTAAAAGCAATAAATTAAAAAAAAAACATGACTCAAACTGTGTGCGCATTATTGATCAGTCGGCGGCAAGCAGATTGCCAGCAATAAGTCATAAAAGACCAGGCGATCAAATTCGGCAATCAAACTCTGCAACTCGAATTTGTCCGTATCGTAAAATCTAGTTCTAATGGCGAATTTAAGCATACGTAGTGAGGAAGGTCACCTTGGATCCCTTGAACACATTCGTCAGTATCTGATCTTCAAAAAATTTGTTTATGATACAAATGAGTGCATTTGATTCAATGTATTTCACTGGTCCCGGTGACCAATTTGATCGCCTGGTTTTTTTATTGTTTGTCGATCTGGTCACCGATGACTAGTCAACAGTATGCATACAAACATATAAGTATATTATTTTTGCATAACATAACTCGCTTCATAAATGACCGCCCTCTATGACTGCGATTACCGCATGCTTTTTTCCAAGATCTTCAGGAGCTCTCAGGTTCTTTCCTGAAGGTCCTGTTACACGTAGTTATTTTACTCGTTGCTACTAGAAGCAACAACTAAATCACCACATCAAGTACTATTAACTTGTCACATATAATTGCTAGTGATGAGATCTGCAGCTTCGAGTCGCTTCATTTTATCAGTAATGATAAACAAAAAACTACATATAATAATATAATCTCAATACAAGTTGCAGCACGTGCTAAGTAGAAACGATGACGCGATTGACTTATCACATGCAATATTACAGAAATTTTTCACGGTAAGTCACATGACCACTAAAATAGCATGCTCCTGGCGAGTAAAATTAAATGTTTATTCAAATTGTCGCGTGCGTTTATAACTGTTACTTGAAATAATAACGGGAACTAATCTGTCACACAATAGTAGTTGAAGAATAAAGTCTTCAAATGTGACTGGACCTTAACTGTTCCTAACAAATAATTCAACATGTCTCATACATTCTTACAATTCAGATTAACGGATGACTATATTTTATTTAAAAAAATTAAAATGATAAATTCCATTGGATATTTTTGACCATTCAAATTACCATCAACAAAAAGTGATTCAATGATTATTTAATTCTGCATTAATTGCTCACATTTCGCGAATGTTTTTTCACTGAAGTTCACATGAAGTTCATAGTATTATAGTTAAATATTTTTCAATAAATAGCATCTTACTTTGAAAAGAAAAATATATGGTTCCATTTGAAAAAAAAGAATTTGAATTTAAAATTTCTTCCAGCATTCGATTTGTAAAATAATTATTTGTACCATATAATATCCCTCTTCATATCAAACAACATTTGCAAAAATATCTTTTTGATAGATTTAGTCCCTCATTAAATATTTTAATATCGCGAGTTAAAGGAAAGGTCCTGTACAACACATGACAAACTTTTCTCTTCGAATTATCAGTAATTTATTTTCAATTTAAATAAAAGACAATGTGATAAAATATATGCGCATCTCTTTTTTCTCTTTCTCTATGTATTTGTGTATTTCAACACATTACAATACTTCTTAATATGCATAAACATCTTGGTATACTTCTAAATAGTAGCATTTTATATTTATATAATACAGAATACTCTTGGTTATTCATTATAAAGAATTTGTACTTTATTAATACAGAATGTATTTTTCTCTTGACGCTTTCTATCCAACGATTATTTATCGCCGACTTTTCTTTGTCTTATTAATCAAAATTAGAGCGTGCATAAAATACAATCGTTGCCTTTAACGTATATATATTATTGTATGTTACTATATATATATATATATATATATATAGATATATATAATATGTATATAATATGTATATAATATATATATATATATATATATATATATATATATATATATATATATAAAGAGAGAGAGAGAGAGAGAGAGAGAGAATTATTATTATCTAAACTATGAACATCGATAATGGCAGATTTACGATTGTAACTAATGGAATGAATAATATTGCACGTACAAATCTGTAACATTCTCTTTTTTCTTTTTTTTCTTTTTTTCTTTTTTCTTTCTCAAAAACTAAACACGTTTCTAAATAAAACAACAATGATAAAAAGGCTCAATATTGTCGACGATTCTTAACAAATTACAAGAACGATAAAAACCAAATCTATATCGAAATAAATGAATTAAAAAAATATTGATATAATAAAGAAATATTTATGACAGCGATAAAATCTACAATCTGTATATTACACATCGTCATGTATTCTTAAAAAATTGAAACGAATTCTGATCCGTTTCTTTCTATACCGTATCGAAATATACAATATTTTGATTAAAAGATATAATTTCGCTATTTTAATTATATTTAGCGTATATACTTTCGACAAAGGCACATTACAGAAATTAAGTAGAACCCTGTCTTGTTCCGTTTAGATAATAATAAGAAATTTTGTAAACATGATATATGATCTTTAATAATGTAAATTTCTTAGGAAAAAATATATTATTGCTTTTGTTTATTCATAAACGATTAATCTTCAACATCCTCGGCGTCTAGTATATTTTTAAAATAAAATGGCTGAAAAATGTATCCTTCTCCTTTATAGAATTTACTCATAAATTCCATCCTGAAACACGGAAAGAATAAATTTCCATAGATATAGAATCTTGCAAATAATTTATATGAATTCGTGAGGAGTACATCAAAATTTAACGTACCAATGAAGCCGAAGAGTATGAAGAAAAGCGGATAGTCCTTCCATTAACACGAGAATACAAACTGTGAAAAACGCCCAGGCAGCGAAGGTACAGAACAGAATAACGCTTGCAACGTAATTACCGTCTACAGCTCTTAATCCCAATCGTAAAACTCTATTCCAAAGGACTTCAGATAATTGAGAATGAGCTAAAGACAAAGCCCAAAGACGTAAATAAGAAGCAGTGTGAGAAACTGTTGATAAAACATATTCTATCGTATGAATGGCTTGATATATCATCAACTCGCTAAAACTGTTATCGTGATCTTGATTCACGCTTACAGTTTGACTTATCGAAGGTACATTCTGCAATTCTATATCTTGAGAGGCATTACCGTTTCTCTGAAATTCAATTAAATTCATTTATCTTCTTATTTATAGTAAGAAATTGACATTTCCTACGTTCAAAATACTTACGATAATTTTTCCATCACTTAGTAATTTTGGTTTCAAACAAAACAATGTACAGAGCGGTTTACCGAATAACATTACAGGGATGCATAGAAGTGCAATAAGAACAAAACACATTTGCATCGTCTCCTGACCATCGAACATATATTCGTGACAACCTTCTTCTACCTTGGCATGTTGGAACAGCATCATATTAATGAAAGTATTTAACACGGATGGTGCACAGCCTGGTGTGAACCTTAATTCTGTCATAAATGTTCAATATTGTGTCAAATTTCTTAGTTGAATATTCTGTCATAATTGTGTCAAAAATATTATGTGTAAATATTAATCAATGACAATGATAATAATTGACAACATGAAATTATTTGTTATAAGTTATATACCTGGCGAAGTCGCATCGTACATGACCCATTTAGCGAACATTAAAAATGCCATGTAAAAAAATAAGACAAGCAGAAAGATTAATTGCGGAAGAAATTCGAAGATCAAACTTGAATATTTCTTGTAATGTCTATGATCAAGAAAAGAGAAAAAAATAAATTTCGATTAGTATCCTTCTAAAGCGATTTAAATTAATTTCATGTCATTCGAATTATCAAACACTTACATTATATTAACAACACTCATACAAACTCCGAATATCATGTGAACGACTCCAAATATTATAGACAATTTCATTTTATAAGAATTAAGGAAGAGTATCTTATTTTCGGCGATCATCCAAATGGGATCAACACCGAGAGGATAGGGTGATTGTAAGTAAGCTTCCGTAGCTGGGTCCAATGTGAGCGCATGAAAATCTTTTATAGT